TTTTTGATCATATAATATTTTTTTGACATCTTAATATTTTAATGATATTCAAAATAAGTGATTTGGGCTCATTGAATTAGTCCCGTTTCAACTCGTTTTGTTTACTAGTATCTAAGTTTTGAAGAGTATTTAGTGTCTTATATGATCTAACAAAGTTTGCATACTTTTGAGTGTTTTATTTGGTTTTATTTGGGCATGTATTGAAATATTCTTGTTGCATTTATTTTCACCTATGAGCTCTTTTTTACTATAAATTTATTATTTATTTAAAATGTTTATATCGAAGATTAGATTTTCAAATTTTCTTATTAAAATTTGATATATAAATTGCATCAAAATTCATGTATAATAATATTTTTATTTTTTATTTTTCTCTAGTTACAATGATAACATAAAAGGGCTAGCAACCTCTTATTATTTGAAAAAAATAGCACTATGAAGGCCCGGCTAGGGGTCTAAATGAGATGAGTCGAGTCAAAGGGTATATGAGCTCGACTCGCGAGTCAAATATTGAGCTCGAACTCGAGTTGAGCTCGACTTTTCGAGCTCGACTTGTGACACCAAAACGAGATTGTCAAGCCACTAGATTTTGGTTTCTCGCTGGCCTTTTGCCTTTTTCCCACTTGGATCTCAATTTTCCGCTCATTTACCTCGGTTTCTTAGTTAGCAATAGCCTCGAGGCCCTCGTTTGTACTATGCAAGCAGTTTGTCTGCACAATGTAGATCGCGCTGCACCTTCTCGAGCTCTTCGTCTGCATGTGAGACGTGCAGAGCTCGCGAGCTTTTCGTCCTCCATGAGGTCTTCATCCCCTCATCTGTTTTTTTTTTTAATTACAAGTGGAATTCGAGCCAGCTTGCGAGCCGAGCCTAGTCAAGCTCGAACTTGACTAGTAAGCTCGATAAGCTCGGCTCATGAGTCCATAAAATGAGTTAAGCTCGAGCTAGCTAGCGAGCCAATTCGGCTCACTTACAACCCTAGGTACCGCTCTACATCCTCACCAAACATGAATTTTGTCATCATGACCAAAAATTAAATCATATCAAATATACTGAAATCATCCTCGAACAAATAAGAAAATTAAAAATTCATTTCTTCAAACATGTTGAATTAATTATAGAATTATAATCTTCAAATTTAAAAAAAAATCATATTTGAACTAAATTTTCGGAGGGGTGAATGGAGAGAGAAAAGGAGTCTGTCAAACTGGGAAGATGGGTGATGATGACTCGTGACCTAATTAAATAAACATAGAGCCAATAACACTTGCAAATCAATTTGACACATTATTCAAACGACTCATATAGACTCACTAAGACAAAAATACTCAGCATAAAGTGAGCTGAATACACTAAAAAAACTCGCAAATACATAATTACAGTTCTTAGGCATAATCAATGTAGACGCGAGACTCAATGACATGATGGCAATGGTGATGACCATTGGAATCATGATGCGCCACATCAATCACCTAATAGAAACTCAATTTCTTGGTTTCAAAATATGGTTCTTATATCATGTAAAATGACATATTTTGCCATTACTTTCATGATCTATATTTAGGTGAAAATGATATTTTTAGTTCATCACAATTTCAAGAAATTATTCTGTGCGGATATCAGACGGTAAGAATCGTCCGGTTTTGTCTCTGTGAACATAAAAGCATAGCATGGACTGCACTGCGCTTTTACTGTTCACAGAGATAAAATCAGACGGAAGATCCATCCGGTGTCCGCACAGCATAATTCATCCATAATTTCTGAGTACAGAATCTCAACAACGTGTAAAATAGTTAACTGTTTTTTGTTCTTCTCTGTTTGACATTAGAATTACATTTTATTTGAGACTGTTTTTTAACTACTTCTTAAAGTAGTTTTTTTAGTAAAAAAATTTAAATTTTTTATACTAAAACATTGTTTTAAAAAGCATTAAAAAATGGTCCCAAATAAAACCTTAATTTGCTCATTGCAATTTGCAATAGGGCAATAAGTAATTTCTTGAGATATTATGGTTTAATAGTCTGCATAGCAGATATATGGCTGACAGCTTCATTCTTTGAAGATTAAAACTCACGTTTATTTTTCTTAATAACTCTCTCTCTCTCTCTCCTTAAAAAATCGTGCAATGCATTTCGTCTATTTGTAACTCAGCATAGAAGTTCTGGCACGTTATACTGGTTGATTAAGGTTTCGTTTGTGACGACTTTCATATTACTTCTTAGAACGACTTATTAGTACAATAATTTTAATTTTTTAATAAAAAGCCGCTTTAAGAAGCATGAAGAAATCAAGCCTAAATTAAGGACTTTTCTATTTTCTTGATTCTGGTTACGGCTTCCATAATTTTTTTTTTTATTTCAGTAGCACCCGACAGCTAATTGAAGTCATTTCCATTATTTGTCAGCCGCTGATGAGAAAAATG